AAAGGTGGGGGTGGTAAGTCATTTAGGGCAAGAGACTTGATGTGAGAAAGGAAAATGCGCCCCCACATTTTTTGGTTTTTTTGGTAACCATGCGGGGAAACATGTTTGACATGATGAAAACAGACATGAGGAAAGAGGGAAAAGACTTGGGATTTTGATGATGCTATCGAGCCACACTGGACCCATCTTCTTTCTGTTTTTTGAATTGTTTTTGGTTTTGGATTTTTTGTTTTTTGTACAGGGATATAACTCGGGACCTTGTGCTTATGAGGCCAGTGGCACCACTGAGCTAAATCCCCAGCTATCTTCTTTCTGGATAACTGCATATGTTAGAGGACAGATCTTACTGTTGAAGCCACTTAGATGGATCCCAGAAAATTGGACACTCATTTGTAGATTTATTACTCACCCACATATGGCCACAGCAATAACTCCTTCATCTAATAATGCACTAATTCTAATCTTCTAAAAATAAATGAAACCCTCAGCACAAAATAAAATAGGATCAAATTGGTTGGAGTGATGTAGAAAATAAAAATAAACAAGTGGTAAGGATGGTAGTAACTTCTCTGTTAAATTTAACCTGTTATTTGGTAGCTCATCTTTGATCCTTAGTTGTGTAACCCTAACTCTATATAAGTGAAACTATTTCCTAAACAAGTGGGCTGGGTTTTCTTCATAGATTTCCTTTGTTGCCAGAACATAAGGTCAATTCTAGTTCATTTTAGAAACCGATTAGTGTTTACCTACTTGAAGATGGTGACAATGTCCAAACTAACATTAACTTATCCCAGTATCTGAAAATTATGACGAGTAGATACAAATTACAGTAAAGATATTTTTTGTTTGTTTGTTTTTTGGGACAGAGTTTCTCTACGTATTCCAGGCTGGCCTTGAGCTCATGTTGCCCAGGTTGGCCTGGAACTCACAGCGATTCTCTTGCCTCAGTCTCCTGTGTGCTGGGATTACAGGTGTGCACCACCACACCTGGCAGAAAAACAAATTTTGTATTTTAGAAATGAATTGAATACATCATCAAAATTACCATTTTGGCCTTTTGTGTACATCTAGATTGATCAGAATTTTCTTTTCTTTGCAATACTAGAAGGAACTTCTCTTTTTGTTATGGTTTAAGTTGTATAATCATCTTCTTACATGTTACCCAATAATAGAAAAGGAAACTTAAAAAAAAAAGAGCAAATACAAACTCATTTATAATAACCCCTCAAAACTACATTGTTGGTAAGGTACAGATTTTTAAACCTAAAGCTATGTGAAACTCACAAACCACAGTTGTTCATCTTCTTTAAGTCAGAGGGGCAGGTGAATAACAAACACAGTAAAACAGATCTGCCAGAAAATTGTAGGGAAAAAATGGCATGTAGTATGTATGGTACTGAATTAAAAAAAAATTTTTTTTGAGATGACAGTAGTATGTAGTTTGGGGTGGCTTCAAACTCATGATAATCCTCCTGCCTCAGCCTCCTGAGTGCTGGGATTCCAGGTGTGCGCCACCAGGCTCAGGTGTGGGTTAATTTATGATACATTTTTTTTTTTCCCAGTACCGCGGATTGAACTCGGGTCCTTGCGCTTGCAAGGCAGGCCACAGAACTGCTGAGCTGAATCCCCGGCCCTATGATATATATTTTTTGACTTATTTCAAAGTAAGTTGCAAACATCATGATCAGTCATTTTATATTTAGTCTTGGGTTTGAATATTTGTGATTCTGAATAAAAGTTGTTTTTCATTCATGCTTTATGAAATCCTTAAGAAGATTAAAGAACATGAGTAATCTGTGTTGTTGGAAAGCAAGATAGTCAGAGAAAACAGATTCAGTTGTACAAAGATGCTATGCAAGATCCCTAAACTATTAACTTTGAATTAAAAAAAATTTTTGGTACCAGGGATCAAACTCAGGACTTTGTGCTTGTGAGGCAGCCAGTGGGACCACTGAGCTAAATCCCTGGCCTTTGAATTGTAATCATTAGTATAAGGTTTTGGTTTTTTCCTTTCTTTCTAAAAAGTAAATACATCTTAGTAGCTCTATCCACTATGAAGGTCAAGTAGCAGTAAGAAATAACACTATAGCAACAACCGCTTCCAAGTATGCTGAGACTCTAAATATCATTTCTTACTATGACAAACCAAGGCTTGCTGGAGAAAGGGCTAAGACTTGGACACAAGGCACTGAAAGGCCTTACTGTCCTTGAAAGCAAGGAAATCATGAAAGACTAATGAGGTCATTTCGAAAGAACATATAGGGAGGTAGGTATTCTGACTTATGTTTAGATGTCCCCCCAAAGCCTCATATGTTCTATTTTGGAGGTGGCTAAATGTAGTGTGTGCTAGGCCTGAGGATTAATGGTGTGAGTACAACCTGCCCTGAGTAGTCAGAATAAGATAAAAGGGGTAGGAAGATGCTGTTAAGGTCCCTTGTTGCTTTTGCTATTTTGTGCATGCCATGTTATTTCTTCTCTGTGACGCCTGTTTGCCATCTACCTGCCTTGGAATCAGACAATTATGGATTGAAACCTCTATGAACTGCAAGCCAAATAAACTTTTCCTCCTTTAAATTTGGGTATTGGGTATTTTGTTTCAGCAATGACAGAGAAGTAACTAAGACAGCAGGTAAGTGGTAGAACACTTGCTTAGCATGCATAAGACTGTGGGTTTGTTCAATCCTTAGTACCACAACAAAACAAAACAAAACAAAAAAGGGAACATGAACCAGCAGGAAGAGGCTCTCTAGCCAAAGATGAGATAATTTGGGTATCAAAGAACATAATGACTGAAACTGTGACACAAAATATGTAAAAACAACTAAGTTCTTCCTACAATTGTGCCCCACCATCCAAGAAATGAACAATCCATCACACCTTAAGGTATGCAGGGCATCAAATTCTTATTCTGAAAATGCCAATTAAGGGAAAAGAACTGAGCATCTATTTTATCTTATTTGTTTGTTTTTTTGAGACAGTCTTGCTTTGTACTTCAGGCTGGCCTTGCACTGACTATGTAGCCCTGGCTGGTTTTGAACTTGTGGTAATTCTCCTGTCTCAGCCTCCTAAGTGCCAGGACTAAAGGCATGAGCCACCATGCCTGGCTATCCTGTCTTTTTTGGTTCAAATTGTACATCAGGATAATTAAATAATCTTATAATAGGGAAAGTTCTGCTTTACAAAGGAAATACAGCTAGGACACACACAATGGATAAGAAAATTACAAACTCATCATTTTGTAACCAGTTTATTAATGATTTAGGCTATAATCATGAGAACATTACATGAAAAGTTGATTGGGGTCTTTAAAATGAGAGGAACAGCTAGTGCCATCTGAACTCACTAATGGTTGAATAACTATAGGTGAGATGATCAGAGTATGTATCTCCTGATACAATGTAAAATAAAGTACACAGTACAGCCTTGTGGAGAATTCTTGCCCCTCAAATTAAGACCTAAATCTGATCAGGCTTTTATAGTTAATGTGCAGTGGGGTGGCACATTCTTGTAATCTCAGCACTCAGGAGGCTGAGACAGGAAGACTGCCCTGAGTTCAAGGCCAGCTTGAACTATTAGTGAGAACTTGTCTCAAAACAAAAAGAAAGAAAGAAGATAAAAGAACAACTCAGAAGCCGGGCATGCTGGCACATGCCTGTAATCCCAGCACTGAGGAGGCTGAGGCAGGAGGATCGTTGTGAGTTGAGACCAGCCTGGGCTACATAGTGAGTTCCAGGTCAGTCTCAACTACGTAGTAAGACCCTGTCTCAAAAAACAAACAAAAAACAAAAAACAAAAACAAACAACCCCCCCCAAACAAACCCCAACAACAATAAAACAAGAACAACTTTTTTGACAATCCAGGAAGAAAAGATAGACACACCCAGAATGTGGGACATTTCATATGAAAACTAAATCAATAACATGGTGAAAAGAGGAATTAAATACAGACTATTAATCATAATCAACTATAATGAATGGATCTTGGTTGGATTCCAATTTGAACAAGCCAACAGTAAAAAGATATTTTGGTGCTACTTGGGAGACATTTCAGTATGGACTGAGTGAAAACACCAAAGAATAACTGTTACTGGCATTACACTTATTTTCAAAAGTCCATGTTAAGAGATACACATCTTTTGTAAAGATGTTTGAGTTTTGCGTGTGTGTGTGTGTGTGTGAGAGAGAGAGACAAGGTCTCACTATATAGTTCAGGCTGGCTTTGAACCATCTAGCCCAGGCTAGCCTCAAACTTGTGATCTTTTTGTCTCAGTCTAGAGAAGGCTAGGATTACATGCATGTGCCACCATGCCTAGCTGGGTTTTGCTTATTTTTATTTATTATTATTAAGATTATTATTTTGGTGGTACTAGGTATTAAAGTCAGGGCTTTTGTACTGCCTCTCCACTTATTTTTTATTTTTTGGTACTGGGGATCAAGCTTAGGACATTGCTTGTGAGGCAGGCGGCAGCACCACTGAGCTAAATCCCAGGCCCCTCTTATTTTTTATTTTGAGAAAAGATCCTGCTAAGTTGCCAAATTGCTTCAGCTAGGCTTAGATTTACAAACCTCCTACTTCAGCCTCCCAGAATGCTGGGTTTTTAAGTGTGCACCACTACACCCCACCTGGGGTTTTCTTTAAAATACTTTATGCACACAAAATACGTTAAGTGTGGATAAGTGAAACAAGTATCCAGTCTTGATAATTATTGGATTTAGGTATGGACATATGGAAGTTCATGACACTGCTCTTTGTACTTTTGTGCAATTCTGAAATTTACAAAAATTAAAACCTGTAGCTATAAAGAGAAATAGCTATCTCAAGACAAAAAAATTTAAACAAGTTGAAGAAAGTTGTCACTATTCTTTCAATTAAAAATAAAGTATTTTAAGTAGACTTCTCAAATAAGATGTTCCTATCTCCCCCTGTTAGCTTTTGGTGTCTCTGTAGTGTTTCACTAATTATAACCAATGAACTTCTGTGTTGTTAAAAGATAAATTACCTGTTGTCAATAATCATTACACGGGAGGGTGGAATCCCCAAAACATCACAGCTCTGCAAAAGTTCCTTCTTACGGGTCTCTCCTTGATTGTAGTAATTTCCTGAGGATAACAAACATAGTGGTAGATTTCTTTAACAGGGGTGGCCTATCTGTCCACTCATTTTTATACCATCTTGATTCCTAAAGGATTTAAGCTACCTGGAAAATAATGTGATTATGATAAAAAACTGAAGAAAACAGAAAAGACCACCAGTACCACACTCTTTGGAATTACTATTTACAATGCTTCCCTATTTGATCTACACTGTGATCATTTGCTAGAGGCAGCACGGTACATTTTGGAGTTAGATTTAGGATTGAATTTTGTATAATCCCACAGGACAATTGGGGTTGTTCACACTAGTAGTTTGAGTTCCTTTATTTATTTATTTATTTATTTATTTTGGTTGAGACAGGGTCTCACTACCTCATTCAGGCTACCCTTGAATTCACAGTGATCCTCCTGCCTCAGTCTCCCGAGTGCTGGGATTACAGGCATGAGTCACCATGCCTAACTTTGGGTTCATTTAATAGTACAGGGCTGGGGCCAGGAATGTAGCTCAGTGGTACCACGCCTACCTGGAAAGTATCAGGTTCTGAGTTCAATTCCTGATCCTTCCCCCGCAAAAAAAATTCCAGGGCTGGAGGTGTAGCTCAGTCGTAGACCACTTGCCTAGCATGTGTGATGTGTGACACCCTAGGTTTGATCCCCAGCATTATACACACAAACACAAAATCATCTAATCTTTAAAAATAGCTTTTTGAGACAAAGTCTCACTGTGTAGTCCAGGTTGGCCTTGAACTCACAGCAATCCTCTGCCTCGGCCTTCCAAGTGCTGGGATTATGGGCATGCACCATCATGCCTGACTTCAATTATCTAATATTTTTTTTTAAAAGGTTGCCAACCTATTTTTTTTCCATTAAGTTCATTGATACATTTTAGGTATACAATACAGTTACATTCATCATAGGGGTAACCTAACTATTAAAGGAAAACATGCAGGAACCATTTAGGAAAGTATCTTCTTTAGAAGAGTTTAGCAACCAGCATCCCATTTGCTAATGAAAAAGCTTATTTTTTAAAAATCTTCCTAACATATATTGTACTATAGTCCCTAAGAATAGTTGTCCTTTATGTATAGAAGTCTACTGTGGCTTTATAAATAGTAACACAAGGACATTTTTATTATCATTTAAATTGCACACTTATCATAGAACAACTACCTAGCTAATATACCCTCTAATTAAAGTTACCTGCAAATAACTATATGCATTATTTGTGGAAGTTACTTAACTTTCCTGAGCCAGCTACTTCACCTGTAAAGTAGAGACAATGGCTAGCTCATAGGGTTTTTGGAGGACTATGAGATAATATGCATCAAAGCAACTCATTAGGCAGTTAGTTTTCTCTGTCCTTGCCATCTTTATTTTTACTTCCTGCTTACTCATCTTCCTTTCTCCCTAAATTACAACTCATCTTTGACATTCATCTAGATCAAATGTCCAATACCTTCTACTTTCCCTGGCAATTAATCATGTCCAGCATTGATTGGACAGAAGTATGAACTTTTCTCCATAATCACATTATTAATTCTGAATTGTCATTGACCTTAAAGGTCATGGTTTCATTCACCTTTGCAGCATCTCCAATATCCAGCACTTTGTAGGCATTCATGAAGGTCTGAACAGCGGCTCAGGTAACTCAGAGAACAACTTCCATGTGAAACCCTTCAACTTTCCCATGGGTTTACTGTTAGCTTTGAACAGTTTGAACCCAGATAAGAGACAGTCATTACATTGGATCTAATAAAGAGACTAGCCTTTAAAAAAAAAAAAAAGAAAGAAAAAAGACTAGCCTTTAAAAGAATGTAGACAAGGGCCGGGGATTTAGCTCAGTGGTTCTGCCGCCTGCCTTGCCAGCACAAAGACCCGAGTTCGATCTCTGGTACCAAAAAAAAAAAAAAAAAAAAAAAAAAAAAAGTAGACAAGCGAAGGGCTTTGTATTGTCCTATCATATCCCCCTTTTTCAGTTTTCTTTGAAAAGAATCAGAAGGAAGCTAAAGTCAAGTTTGAGATAGACATTATATTTTAGGTTCATTTCAAACCCATACACATACTCTGTCTCACGCATTTTCCCATGATAACTTGGTCTTTGGTGATAAATGAATCCAGTGTGTACCTTAAAAACACAATTCTGACTTTTAGAGGCTGTTGCATCTGTCTATGATTCTGATTCTGAGAAACTGCTTATAATTGAGGTTAATGAGTTAGTTTTATTGAACTGTGTTTGAATAAAAGAACTTACAAAAGGCTAAGGAGTAGAAGTCAGAGACTTTTTTAATTATTTTCACAAAGTCTGGTGAACATGTAGCAATTCAACAGAATGTATGTTTGAATTCCTTTAACAGGTTTTTTTTTTTTAGGGCAGTACTGAGGGTTGAACTACCTCTGTACTGTTATATCCCCAGCCCTCCCACCCCCGCTTTTAACTTTTTAAATTTGGGGCAGGGTTTCACTAAATTGCCGAGGGTAGGCTGAAATTGTGATCTTCCCAGTTCCTTACCTAGAAAATTTCAATTTGTTAGAATAAGAAGTGGACTAGGTTTCAAGGCATTACAGTTCCAACACCACCTGGCCATCTATTAACTGCATGAACTTGGAATAATTCCTTAAATTTCTGAATTTCAGGAATGTTAGCAAGGTTTTTTTCTCGAATATGACCAAGTAATTGGAAGATGTATTAGAAGAATAAAGGTCTAACTGGGTGCAGTCATGATGTGTGCAATCCCAGCTACTCCTTGTAACCCTAGCTACTTGGGAGGCTGAGGTGGGGGTAACTGTAAGTTCAAGGTCAGCATGGGCAATTTAGTAAGACTCTTTCTCAAACAAACAGTAAAAATAAGAGACTGGGAATTTAGTTCAGGGTACAACACTTACCTAACATTTGCAAGGCCCTGAGTTCTATCCCCAGTATCACAAAAACAAAAAGGCAGGGGTATGGGGTGTGGGAGAAAGTAAAAAGGACCAAGCTTTTTCTACTATAAAAAGCGGGAGTTTAGATTCTGTGTCCAAGAATATTCAGGATATCAGAAACCATATATTTACAACAGCAAGAATTTAACGCAAGATTTTGCTACATAACTGATGGAGGATCTAAGGGCTAAACAGGAAATAGTGAAGCAATCCAGAAATTAGAGACTGTAAAAAATGACCACTGGGGATACATAGACTAGTGGTACAGCAGCCTAGTATAGCAAGTTTCTGGATTCCATTACAACACACACACACACACACACAGTAAATAAAAAGTGATGACCCAGTCCTTGCTTGGGGAGATAAAGGCAGGAGACAGGGTTACAAAGTTCAGAGGCCTGAGCTCCCAATGGAAAGTGAAACTAGAGCTGGACACTTTTCCATCAGGGGTCTACAGAATCTGGCTTAAGAAATTATGATGTAAAAATGAAACTAGAATGAAAAAATGGGCAAAGGACATAACTAGAGGTTACACAAAGAACAAAACAGAAGGCCATTTGGGAAGTGAAAAGATGTTTTCCATCATTCATTAAGAAAATTCAGGGCCAGGGATTTAGCTCAGTGGTTCTGCTGCCTGCCCTGCAAGTGCAAGGTGCCAAGTTTGATCCCCAGTATCAACAAAAACAAAAAACTCAACAACAACAACAAAAGGAAAATTCAAATCACAAAAGGATATTACTTCAAAGCCACTAGGATAGCTAGTCTTAAAAATAGAAAATTACAAGTAAGCTGGACATGGCGGTACATGCCTATAAAGCCAGCACTCAGGAGGCTGAGGCAGAAGTGCTGAGAATCTGAGCTCAGCCTGGTCAATAGTGCGTTCAAGGCCACCCTGCACTACAAAGACAGACTCTGTTTCAAAAAACCAAAAGAAGGAAAACTACAAGCTAGAGGCTATAGAGCAAGGGATAGTCCATTGTTGATGGGAATGTAAAATGGTATAGCTGCTATAGAGAACAGTTTGGTGACTATTTAAAAATTCAAACACAGAATCATCACAATTTAAACATTGTATTCACAGGGAGTTGGGATGTAGCTCAGGGGCACATGCTGGCCTGGCAAGTGCAAGTTCGATCCCAGGTTTAAAAAAAAAAGGTATATACAGTTATACACGCTCAAAAGAATTGGAAACTAGTACTTGTATACCAATGTTCACAGAAACATTATTCATAGCAGTCAAAAAGTGGAAAAATCCAAATATCCATCAAGAGATGAATGAATAAACAAACCATGGTATATAACCAATTGAATCTCAGCTCCTTAGGAGGCCAGGGCAAGTGGATTTTAAGTTTGAAGCCAGACTTAGCAAGACCCTATCTCAAAATAAAACACAAAATGGCTGGGGATATCACTTAGTATTCCTTGAGTTCAATCCTCAATACTGTCCCCCACCCCTCCATTTATGTGAAGTACCTAAAATGGCCAAACTCATAGAGAATGTAGAATAATAAAAATGCTAGTTGCCAGAGGGTGAGGCAGGGACTTGGGAGTTATTGTTTAATAGGTTATAGAGTTTTTGTCTGATATGATGAAACAGAGATGATGGTTACACAATCTTGTGAATGTACTTAACACCAATGAATTGACAATTTAAAAATGTTTTAGGGCCGGGAGTTTAGCTCAGTGGCATGCTACCTAAAAAAAAAAAAAAGGTAAATTTTATTTTATGTTATGTATATTTTACCACAGTCTAAAAATTTTTTTAAAAATCACATTTCACTGAATAAAAATCTTTCAATTATGTTACCCAATAAAATAAATTGTCTTTAAAATTGATAAAACAATTTTTTAGAAAATCACTTAAAGTACTGAGCACACATCTATGCAGCCAAGATCAAGAAACAATTAACATATGGTATTATCGCTAATCTGTTCATACTTGTGAGTAATTTTTCATTAGTATTCCCAAAAATGACTACATTGATACTGACTTCAACTTATGGAATGCTATTTTGCTTATTAGTTTCTCTGATCTGTGACTTATAGCTGGTCATTAACAAGGTCAAACATATGGGAAACTGTCATTT